GAGTTGATGCTTTTGAGTTGTGGTGTTGGTGAAGAATACTGAAGGTACCATGGACTGCCAGAGGAATGAACAAATCTATCCTGGAAGAAGTGCAACCAGAATACTCCTTGGAAGCAAGAATGACCAAACTTCGTCTCACCACTTTGGCCATGATGTCAGAAGGAACCATTCCCCAGAGAAGGATATCATGTTTGGTAAAGTGGAGGGTCAAGGAAAAGGGGGAAGGTCCTCAATAAATGGATTGACACAGTGGCTGCAACGATGGGCTCAGGTACAGCAAGGATTGTGAGGCTGGCACAGGACCAGGCAGTGTTTCATTCTGTCATACATAGGGTCACTATGAGTTAGAGCTAAGTTGATGGCACCTAACAACAACAACAATATGATCTTTCAGAGACCTTGCTTCCTCTTGTGGCTTCAGCATTCATGTATATGTAGACATCTCCCCAATCCCTCTCCAGATTTTTAATCCCACTTTTAATGGGATACTTGTATATTTTTCCTGCATCACACTCAAAATATTTAAAACTCACCATGTTCCTCCCCAAATACAACTTCCAGTTTGACTTTACTCACTTGTATGAGCCAGACTCAAGATCTTGGGGTTTCTTTGATTCTTGCCTGTGTTGCACCCACATTTCCAGTTAGTCTCAGAATGGGGTAGAAGCACTTGACACAGCATCAAGGCCACAGTGATCCTTCCACCTTTAAATCCCGCTGCCCACATGGCTGGTAATACAAATCAGCATGCAAAGCATGGTAGTCCACTGTCCACTTTCTCTTTATGAATACATGTCTTTGATTCCCCTCCTCCTATCCCAGAGTATCTACTCCTTGAGGGCAGAGACTCCACAGTCCACACATTGAGCTTTATGCTTTGAGGGCATTCAATAAATGTTTGTTGATAGTCATAGCGATTATAAAACACAAACACAGTTTCTTTCTTAGGTCATGGTCTACACTTACCACGACCTAATGATCACTGACTAAGCTAAGCACCTGCCTTGCCTGACCTCGCTGGATACCCACAGCAATCCTAGGAAGTAGGGGACTAAAACCCTTTGCCTTCCCCTAGATTCTGACTCATAGCAACCCACTGTGTTACTGAGTAGAACTGGGTTCCACAGGGTTTTCTTGATTGTAATCTTAATGGGAACAGATCACTAACCTTTCTTCTATAGTGCTGCTAGGTAAGGTCAAATGACCAGCCTTTAGGTCAGCAGCTGAACATCAACTGCTTGTGCCACCCAGGGACCTTAAGTAGGGACTATTACTCCTATAAGAGCTCTGGTGGCATAATGGTTAAAACCTTCAGGTGCTAACCTAAAGGTCAGCAGTTTGAACCCACCAGCTGCTCTGTGGAAGAAAGATGAGGCAGTCTGCTTCCATAAAGATTGACAGCTTTGGAATCCTTACAGAGCAGTTCTATTCTATCCTTTAGGGTCACTATGAGTCAGAATCGACTCAAGGGCAATGGGTTTGGTTTTTGGTTCATTACCCCCATATTACAGATGGGAAAACTGAGGCTCAATGAGGTTAAATAAATCACCCAAGCTCACATGGCTAGGAAATGGGAGAGCCAGGGAGTCCAACTGAGATGTGTCTGCCTACAAAGCATTCCTCTTTGTCATTCCCTAACAAGGTAGCCTCTCTCTGCTGCACAAACAGCAGAGGCTCCTTCACAAGCATGTCCTTTGGTTTTCCTGCTGCGTGGTGTACCATTGGTGAAGTAGCGGGGGAAAAGTAATGACACCCATGTCCTTAACAAACACCATTTAAAACAAGTTTCTCAACCCTAGTACTATTGACATTTCAGGCCAGATAACTCTTGTGCTGGAGGAGCTGTCCTGTGCTGCGTAGGATTTTTAGTAACGTCCCTGTCCTCTCCCTGCAAAGGCCAGTACCATACTGTCCCCAGTTGTGACAATCAAACATGTCTCTAGATATTGCCAAATATTCCATGAGGGGCAGTGGTGCTCCCAGTTAAAAAACCACTGCATTAACTTAAACTACCTTATCTGAAGAAATAGTACACACATATATATCAGAAATAATAAAAGCTTTTCCTTCAAGAATGTTAGGCACGTATTTAAAAAATGTTATTGCCCAAAATAGTTTTAGAATTTATTTTTTGGAAATGCCGTCAGAGCTTAAAGAAAATTCCTTTAATAGTCTCCATGGTGGCTAGTCCCATAGAACTGTTGCAAACATATTTTGAGAATAGAATCATAAGAGTACATAATGCCTCTAGAAGGAGCACTCTGAAGGAGGAAATTCTCTTTGAATGTCTAAGCTTTGGAAGGCCTCCTACGAAGCCGGCCTGGCCCCTCACTACCGACAACACCACAAGTATTTCTCAGGTATTGTTTCCTCACTAGGGTGCTGTAGCTGCTGAGTTCCAGGTAGGCTGAGAGCTCCATGAGGGCAGAAACTGTGTGTCTGCCTCCTAGCTGCTCTCACCCCAACTCCTAGCACAGTGCTCAGCCTAGGTGTGGCCCTCAATGAGCGTCAGCTGAGTGAATGACTAAAACCAGGACTCAATAATTACCTAAATAATTGATGCTTTCCAGGTAGCTACATGCCAGTGATAGAAATGTGGAGCTTAGGAAAAAAACATTTGGTAGGGGAGATTTCACAATCACAGTAGGATACAGAGAATCCGAGTCTACTAATTCTACTCTCTGAAAGACCAAAAGAGTGCTCCACCCCAAACTAAACCACACTGCTGTTGAGTGGATTCTGAGTCATAGCAACCCTGTAGGACAGAGTAGAACTGCCCCTTGGGTTTCCAAGGCTGTAATCTTTAGGCAGACTACCAATCTTTCTCCCAATAGGACAGAACAGAACTGCTCCATAGGGTTCCCAAGACTATAAATCTTTATGGAATCAGACTGCCTCATCTTCAGTGGAGTGCCTGGTGGGGCTACAGCTCCTCAATCCAAAGACAGTAGTAACAATATGGTTACTAGTACTTAAGATCTTACTAGAAAGACAGACCTGGTGATCCACTTCCAAAAATTAGCCAGTGAACAACCTGTTTCCCAACTGAATACTGTCCAATATTGTGTTGGAAGACGACCTCCCCAGGTTGGAAGGCACTCAAAATACACAGTGGCTGCAACAGTGGACACAAACATATCAATGATCATGGAGATGGCGCAGGACTGGGCAACGTTCTGTTCTGCTGAACTTGACTCGATAGCAACAGTAGCAACAACTTAAGATTCGCTGTGTGCCAGACATTGTGTGAAGTGCTTTACGCACTTTTTTACTTGAACCTGTCAACAACCCCATGAGACAGCTGTCAGAGTCCTTAAAAATGAGAACTCACTGGGTCAGAGGTTAAAATCTTTGCCAATATCACACAAGTAGTGAGTGGCAAAGCTGGATTTAAATCCTGGCCTGTATGAAAACAGCCCATACAATGTTTACTGTCTGTGTTACCTTCTAACAGCACAATGGTATTTCAAATGCAAATTGGGTCATTGATTCATTTTCCTATTTATGAAGTACCTACAGGTTTTAATATGCTGTAGAGGATACAAAAATTGGTAAATAAGGATGCTTTCCAGCATAAAGGTACTTGCTATGTTGATTTTTATAAATCTCTTTAGATAGAATTTCTTCTATAAAGATGTGTGTTGATGGGGATGAGGGTAGTGTTGTATGAAAATTTGAAGGTCTTATAAAATAAAAAAGCTTTGGCTTTGTTTTGGGTTATACCCACCCTTGGTCAACAAACTCTACTGAAATCAGTGAAAATTTATATATATATATATATATACATATATATATATATATATATATATATGTACCCACCAGCCACTCCTCGGAAGGAAGGT